CGGCTCCTACCGACAACTTAAAAAAAGAGAGGAGAACGAGTGGGGGCTGTAAAAGGTGCCCCTGGGTGGGGGCGCAGCGGGGCAGCTCCCACCCGGAGGCCTCATCCTGCGGGGCCCCAATGGGGCGAGGGGGGGGCCCGGCCCCTGGCTGTGGCCCCCTCATACCCCACACTGGCCGGGGCGGTCTGCCTGCGCCGGCAGCAGGGCCCGGGCTTACAGGCCCCCCCCGAAGCTCTCCTCCTCCTCAGGCAGGGGGTCCGCATCCCAGCATGTGATGTCAATCTCTGGGGGGACAGGGAGCGGGGGGGGTGGTCAGGGCAGTGTGGGGTAGCCCACGGAGGGACAGACACCCCCCCCTCACCGTTCCCACTCACCTGGGGGCTTGTTGTAGAAGACGGGCTGGGGGGCTTTGGCCGATGGCTCCTCGGGGGGGGGTACCTCCTCCTCCTGGGACTGGCTGAAATAGCCCTCGCTGGCCTGGAGCGGGGGGGGGGGCGCCGGGGGGCCGGCCCCCCCCCAGTCATACCCCTGACCCCCCTCCCCCAGCAACGCTCACCTGCTCCCCACGACCCGGCGTCCCATCCTTGGGGGCCATCTCCCCATTGGTGATGGGGGGGGTCTCTCGGCCCTGGGCATCCTCCTGGGGGGCACGCTGGCAGCCAAGCCCCCGGGGCTGGGTCTCACCCCCACCGGCTGCCTCCTCCTCCTGCTCCGCGTCGCAGAAGGTGGCAGGGGGCTCGGGCAGCTCGTCCAGGCTCAGCAGGGTCCCCTCATCGGGCAGCGTGGCCGGGGGGCCCTCGGGGACAGGGGCAGCAGGCAGGGGCCAGGCAGCGGGGGGGGTCACCCCATCGCTCTGCCACAGGTCGATGAGGCTCTCGGGGTTGGGGGTCTCCCCCGGCTGGGGCTCGGCAGCCACAGGTAACGGGGAGGGTTCGGCAGGCTCCAGGGTCATCAGGTCCCCCAGGGAGTCACCCCCTGCTGTCCACACCGGCCTGGGGCTGGGCTCGTCCCCGGGGGGCTCGGTGGCCTTGTCCTCGGGCCCTGGGAAGGGCCAGTGCTGCTCAGGGATGACTGGCCCGGCCTCCTGGGTGCTGGGGCTGGGGGAGTCTGCAAGGGAGGGGACAACAGTCAGTGGGGACAGACACCCCCCCCCCCAACACACACCTCATCCAG